GTGTAGAGGTAGTCTGGGCGCTGAACGCCAAGTAGGAGAAAGCGCTCTGGATACATATGTTGGTGGTGGTGAGAGTGTGCTCTCATTGACATTTGTACTCAGTACTTTGGTTCTCCGCTGGTGGTATATCAGTGTATTTCTGCTTTCTGGACAGCGTTGGACTCTTTGGCTTTCAATGTGAATTTGCATTCTGGATTTTCTGTCATTTGCTATCGCTCATTTTCCTTGCAATTTGGTATCAGAGCTGGTTCGAGCCACTCCGCTGGGTCCTTCGCAATAGCTGTATGGTGCTTCACTGGATATGGTGGGGCAGTGATAACGCTTGTGCATGGGGTGATAGGCTGTCCGGGGTCGTGTGGGCGCTCCAGGAATAGGGGTGCACACTGGATGATCAGAGCTTGCTGACGTGGCAATTTAAGCCGAGGTGGAACTGCATTGCATTGTGGGCTGTGCCGAGGCATCAACCGGTCATCATAAATGCACGTCAGATTACTGGTGAGAAATCTGTGGTTGGGGACAACGATGTGAGGTACGTTGCTCTTTACCTTATCTACCCTCTTCATTACTTCTTACCATGAGGAAGTGAGTTCTGTGTTGAGAGTACTCTCATTGTGAGGTGTCGCGAGCGTTCAACCTTGAGAGTGGACATTCTTCCTGGGGAGCATGCTGGTGGGAGATGGGCATTGCCTCTGAAGGGCCCTGGATGAAACACTCGGGTCACAGTCACCATGCCAACCTGCTGGGACTTGTACATGCAAGCTATGCCGATTGTCCTTGGTTCTGCTTGCTGCACTGTAGAGGGAACGTGGACTGACCAGTCCTAAGTGAGACGCCTACCAGACCGCCTATAAATATTTCAGGCGAGATCTAAGTTGAATACTGGCTGTGATCGTCGTCCTGTCTGCGACGTGAAATAATTCCTGAGGACATTGGGGGCTGTTTTTAAACTGCCTCTTGATCAGCCAGATTAACCGGATGGAAGGCTCTTTGCATGCGAGGATAAAGAACAGGCAGAACTGGTCATAAGTGATTTCCTGGGCACAAGGGTGGGCTGATTGCATACCTTCAGACACGGCGCTGAACCAGAGCTTCAGGACGTCGACATCAAGTGACTACTCAAGAGGGATGCAGGGGTTTATTAAAAATTTCCATTCTGCATGCACACCAGCAAAATATTTTATTTTTTATTTTTGTTTAGTTACTTGTGAGGGACACTGCTAACGACTGATAGGTGTCTGCAGATAGGTAGTACCGTAAGTACATATTTCTTGCTGCATTGCAATCTGTCTCAGACTAGTCAAAAGAAGGAATATAGTTTTTGTAGGAATCTGACATTATCTGCTGTTACCGCTTGACTACTTTCTGACAAAGCTGGATCGAACATTTATTGTACCTTAATTTTAAATCGATTGGATGCCATGCTGCGGTAGCTCCCAGTGAGGACACTAGTGCAGATCGTGGACCACACGTGGCTCTTGAGTGGCGATGATAGTGGGGTAGAGGAGGACGAGAGGAAAGGAAGCTGCGGAGATCGCGGACTACACGGGCACTCAATCGATCGGCCACTTTCGTAGTGTTAGAACAAGGAGAGGAAAGGAAGCTGCGGAGAGAAGCACGAGAGCGGAAAATATTATGGAGGGTTAGGGAAGCAGCAGCAACAGCAGCAGAGGCTAGAACCAGTGCTGAGGCAGCCATGGCTACCCCCTCTACACAAGCCTCTTCCCAGGCATCTTTCTCAGGTGTCAGTCAGGGTGTCTCCCAGGCTTCCGTTAGTCAATCTGCTCGCCTGCAGGTCAGCCAGCAGCAACAAATGTCAGATGAGGATTATGAGGTCCAACAAGTGGATGCTCTCCGCATAGAGTTACAGCGCCAGCTCCGGGAGGTAGAGGAAAGGAGAGAGAGAGCTAGAATTAGAAAAGCCAGATTAGAGGCGAGGGGAGAGGAGTTAGCTATAGATGAGTCAGTTCTAGACCTTGTAACGCTGTCGCTTCGGAACTCCCGGTTGAGTGTATCCGAAGTGCAGGCGGTGCAGCAAGAGATGTTGACTGCACTAATAGCTGCTCAGAACCAGAGTCTGACCGCACTGCGGGCGCGATGACCTGCGGTCAGGCAACCACAGTTTGCTGTAGCTCCCCCTACAGTCGCAGGTCGAATAATGACGCTGCCACCAGTAGGGCAACCGTTTTCTCCACAGTTTGGCATGCCCGAATCAGGCGGATTAGCAGTAGGTAGTACTGGACAGATTTCGGTACCGTCTTCACTTCCACAATCATCGGCTGCTGCTACAGGACAGCCGCATGTACAGCAGCCTGTGCATCACTTACCCCTGCAGCAAGTGCTGCACCAGCAGACTGGTCCATTGGTTTCACAACCAATGCCGCAGGCACAAGGTGTTATACCCTTGCTGAGTCCTAAGCCCTTCTCTAGCGACAAGAAGAAGGAAGAGGACTTGGATACCTGGGTAAGGACTGTGCCGACATATGTCAAGCATAAGCTTACTAGGACAAATGAGGAAGTCAATGGCTTGGCATAGGCGAGAACATCGGAGGGGTTCGTGCGATCCCCAAGGGGCTCAAAAGGTCACTGGCACTCTAACTAGTCTACGATCAAAGAAATACGGCACAATGTGAGAGATAATAGACTCCGTAAAGGATTGATCGTTGTCCTTGGTGTGAGGTATGAACCGCAAGTACTCTTGACAAGTTACCTGCGATGTCTGCTCACAGACGTCAAAAATAAGTTGGTCGATGAGGCATCCGTCGACGTACATGACTTCGCTTCGTTCAGCAAAAAAACCTTGGATATAGAGGCTAGGCTTGGGAGTGGCCAGCAGGGACCAGTAGATGGGAGAAAAAAAAAGC